CGGCGGTCAGCATGGTGGCAGCTCAGGGTGGGCAGAGCTTGGTGGCAGCAGCACCCACGGGGATGTGCTCTTATAGCAACTGGCACGTCCCACCAGCCTTATCTTATCACGCCGAGGGCGGGGGGACTGCGGGCCAGGGAGTGGCAGTGGCACTGCCTGGGGGGCCCTGGTTGCCCCAGGGGGCCAGCCCTGGGGAGGCTCCAGGGGGACCCAGCTGCCCTGCCCTGCCCCACTGCACCAGCCCCACACCAGGCTGGGGGCTGGAGCAGCACCTGGACAGGCTTCTCTGTGGTCAGCAGCAGCCCTGGGCATGTCCTGGGAGAGTCACAGCCTTGGCATGTCCTCAAGCTCCCTGTTGTGATCCACCATTCCCCCCCAGCTGGGCCAGGGTCCTCTCTGACTCTGCAGGTGTCAAGGTGGGTCCCACAAGTGTCCCTGTCCCTCATGTCTCCAGACTCCAGCACATCCAGCCCTTCTCTGCCTCGCCGTCCCCGTGGTCTCATAGTAGGAGCCATGGACAAAGCCCTCCTGGGTCGTGCTGGGGGTCTGCTATGAAAAACACCATCTTTCCAGCAGCCTGGAGAAACCTGGGCAGGGAAGAACTTCTTTTCTAGGTCCACCCTGTGATGCTTGTCAGTCCTGAGCTCCTACCCTTCTTCCCCTTCCAAAGTGTGCTCCTGTGTCTTCCCACAAATGCTGGGACATCCCACAGGGTGCATGGTGATTTGCCATGGAATCAAAATTAATAAAAATTAATTAATAGGATCATTAAGTTTGGAAAAGTCCTCTAAGATCATCAAGTCCAACCATTAACCAGCACCGCCAAGGCCAACACTAAACCATGTCCCAAAGTGCCATATCTATGTATTTTTTGAACACTTCCAGGAATGGTGATTCCACCACTGCCCTGGGAAGCCTGTGCCAGTGCCTGATAACTCTTTAATTGAAGAATTTTTATCTAATATCCAATATAAACTTCCCCTGGTGCAACCTGAGGCCATTTGCTCTGACTGTCACATCCTTTGCTCAGCCTCTGTATGAAGGTGCTGGTACAATGTGAGGTTAGGGACCCACCAGATGCTGACCTACCACCTCAGTCACGGATTTAAACCTTCAGGTTACCTGAAACACACAGATGCAGATCTCTGCTTCTCACTCTGTCCCCCAAGCAATAGGTTTTGGGGTGCTGGGAGGGGACACAACCAGGCAGATGAGCCCAACTAACCAAAGAGGTATTTCATACCACATAGTACCATTCGCAGTAATAAAAGGGAAAAGAGGGAGTTTGTGAGATTTTGAGGGAGTTTTAGGGCAGTTATCCATCTCTTTTGCTCAGGAACTAGCTGGTCATCAGTCTACCTGTGGGATGGGGTGAGTGATTGCCTTTGCATCATCTGTTTTGTTTTTTTCTTCCCTCTGCTTCTACTTATCCTTCACTCATTAAGCAATTATTTCTGTTTGTTTTGATTTTGACCTCCAATTTTTCTTTGAGATTTTGAGGGAGTTTTAGGGCAGTTATCCATCTCTTTTGCTCAGGAACTAGCTGGTCATCAGTCTACCTGTGGGATGGGGTGAGTGATTGCCTTTGCATCATCTGTTTTGTTTTTTTCTTCCCTCTGCTTCTACTTATCCTTCACTCATTAAGCAATTATTTCTGTTTGTTTTGATTTTGACCTCCAATTTTTCTTGCTTTCATTCTTCCTCTTTCCCTCTCCCACTGGGGCAGGGAAGTGAGTGAGGACTGTGTAGTGTTGGGACTAACCTACAGCACGTCTGTATGGAGGATCCCACTGCTCCCCTCAGGATGACCATCAGTTTTGTACTCTTCCCTGTTGCTGCTTTCCAGAGAAACCCTGTGAAGTTGTGGTGTCCCAGGTGCCAACAACACTGATCTCCAGTGGCCACTAGTATGCCCAAATTTCAAATCCATGTTCCCCTTATTGATATAAGTTCCCCTTACTAAAATAAGAGATGTCAAGCTGAGGGGATGGTCCCAAGACCAAACCTGGCTAGCAGCCCATGTGTATGAATCATCAGTGTATGAATTGGTACATGAATTCACAGAGCTTACTATTTCCCCCTCCATTTTGTGTAGACATTCCAGAACATCCCTGCCTGAACAGTCAGGTAGGTGGAACACACAGAGATGAAAGCATAGAGACCATAGCTCACATTTCAGTTATTTATTGGGTTTTGCAGATGTCTGAACCCCTGCAGAGAGGACTTGAGAGGGCTGCAGAGGAACCTCAGAGCCTGGCAGCTGGGCTGTGCCATGGATGTGCATCTCTCACCCTCTGTGCAGGCCATTTATCTGTACTTCTCAGTCAGAACAGAGGAAACGCTGGACAAGAACTTGTCCCATGCAGCATGAACTTCTGGAGTGAATTCACTGGGATAGCGTGCAGCTATGGAGCACAGGATACAGTGGGAAAGCAGCTGTGAGGGAAAACAGAATGAAATGCATCATGATCAGTATCAGATGTCAATCTGGGGGTCTGCAATGGACAACTACATGCCCCAGCCAGGTGGCACTGCTGCCTGGGCTGTGTGTGAAAAAGCACAGTTGCCTTTGGTATAGGGCTAAAGGCACTGATTGCTCCCACCTCCCTCTTCCCAATCTCCCTTCCCCACTAAAGTGAAATGCAAAAAAGTGGAAATGCTTATGATTTACAAAGACTTGTTCAAGACAAGTGATGTAACTTGATGTGTGAGGGAGATTAATGAATTAGACTTGATTCTATCTAACACAAACCATAGGAGCCTCCCTGAGTACTTTGCCTGCACTAGACCAGAACTTTCATTAAAAGATCCAATCTCAGGTTAAAAATCCGATGAGGAACAGGCTGTGCAGCAAAGTCAGGGATCAAGCTGCTGTTAGCCCAAATGACCTGTGGTCTCTAACTGCCATGTCAGTTTCTACCCCTGGAAGTCTCTGTGCTCACCCACCTTGAAGTTCACAGGGTCTACCCTGAGGATGTAAGCATGCAGCTCGCTGAGTTTGGCCAAAGCACCTCGAATGTCCTCCACGTGCTTCACAGCTTCCCCAATGGCATTCATGACCTTGGAGCCATGACCACGAAGCTGAGCTGAGCCTTGGCTGAGATCAAAGTGAGGGAAGTACGTTTTTGTCTGGGGATAGCTGAAGAAAAGCCTGGAGGGGAACAGGAGAATGAGGTTTAGCACTGGAAGTGGCATGAGGTGGTAAAACCTCAGAGCAAGTGCAATGTAAACCTGCAGCTCCTTCAGTGATGTAACAGAGCTTTGGGAGCTTGAGGCTTGCACTGGGAAGGTCTTTCTACTCTTAAACCTTTTTTAAGCACATGCAGATTAGACAGCAGCTAGTCTAGAGAAGAATTAAATGTTTAATGTAATTTAAAATTTCATGTTGGGTTTTTTGTTTTTGTTTTGTTTTGTTTTTAATAAATAATAACCTCAAATTGTCACCAAATTTCCTGTATCACGTTATAGTTTCCAGGAACTTCAAACTAAAATGAGCTACATGAACCACAATTGGTATCAGTGATACTCATGGTCCTGGAATGAGGTTCACACTATTTTATATAAACATATGTGTAAATAATGTTTAAGTAACTTTGAGTAACATAAGAATTCCTGAACAATTCCCAGACTATTATCCCTTTTATGCCAGCTTGCTTAATTGCTGTGAACTTTGGATTGCTGTGGCATACTTCGTGCAGGGGGTCCAGCTGCCTGATTTCCTTAGGGTTTGTTACTTGTCAACTGGAACAATGAAATCTGAGTATTCAGTGAATTTACTGCATAGCTATTCTCTAAATCCTGAGAAATTGTAAGAGAAAGTGCATCATTTGTACAATAAACCACTTCAAGTTCATCCCCTAACGGGGATAATGCTATTTCAGGACACTGAGTATGACTGACTTTGATTTCCTTGCCAGTGCTCCTGGCTATGAACTCTTCTGAATTGCTATAAGGAGAAAAAAAACCTATTGAATTGTTTAGAAAATGATGGTTTACTGTGAGATTTTGAAGCATTTAGTAGCACAGATAAAATTCCAGGGGATTACACAGAGGACATCCATCAACTCTCATGCGCCCCAGTCTGCTCTCACTCACCCAAGTCCTACCTGAGATGCATCCCAATGGCAAAGCCAAAGGAGGGACCCTGTTTGGAGAAGTGCTGGGGGACTTACCTCTCCAGTGATTCTGCCCCAATGGCATCAGCTTGGGGGGCCACCTTGGCCCAGATGGTGACCACGGCAGCTTTCTCGGCTTGGGTCAGCGTCATGGTACAGGAGGTGCTGGCTCTGTCCCCTTGCAGTGACCGCTCAGAGCAGGTGTGAACTCACCAGCCTGGCAGCCCTGGTTATAAAGGGGAAGGGGACAATGGACCTTGGTGCCTGTCCACACTCATTGGTCACTCCAGAGTTCCACCCATGGAGTGGGACACGCTTATCTCCCCAAGAAGCGATGGCTACTTCGGCCAGGGTCAGTGCACTGACCTCTTTGCTTGCTGGTCTTATCAGCTTCTTGCTTCTTAACATAATGGCCATGTGGCCTAAAGAAATTGTCTGGACACATATTGATACATGAACAGAGAGACAATGATAGAAAATTCCATCTGTGAAGCAATAGGACACATCTATAAGCTGAGGATGATACGGACTTCGGGTATACTAAGGATCTTGGAGAAAAATCTGTATTTCCTCCCTTGGCGCACAGATGTGAACACAAGACTGAGCCTTTCTGGGCTGGATAATGCAATTCCAGTATATGTAGCTTCCCCATGGCACAGTACTTTACATCAAGTCATTCCTAGGTGGTGGTAGGGACAGGCTGGGAGATGTGTGGTAGAGCTCAGAGAGGGAGTGACTCTCATTTTGTGAGAATCAGTGGAGATTTTGCCATTTGACTTCAATTTGCCAGACTTGGAATGAATTAGGGACCCTCTCTGCAACTGACAGTGCTTGTAACAGCAGCAGTTGTAATGATTCCTATGGATACAGGAAGAGAGACAGTTCGTGAAATTGAGAATGGTCCTAGAAAAAAGTGTGTCTGTGAGAGAAAGCCCAGTCAGACTTTTTTATTCTCAGACTGCATGCCTTTGATTTCTAACTGTGTGATCTTACTGTCAATTGTCCCTTGTACTGTAAAACAGCCCTCAACACCTCAGCCAGTGCTGGCATGTGCTGTGCTACATGCTGGACACAAAATAGATGGCTGGTAGCATCAGGGCACAGGCACGCTGGATGGGTGAAGGACCAAACAAGCAAAAGGAAGACCAGCACAGTTCTGTAATCACAGATAAGTGGGCAAAGTGTCAAGGAAATACCCTACTGGAGATGGCTGCTGCTGACCCTCTGGGAATGAATATCCTGCCAGCACATGAAGCAGAGGTAAATCTCTCTGCCACCCTGATAAACTACAGCAGCCTCACACGTCACCACTGAGCACTGGCACTGGAGCAGTCAGAGAGGTCAGATAATGTTCTGTGCCCAAATAGCCCTGCATACTTATGTGGAGAAGGTTGATGTGTGAGCTAGATTCCTTGCCAAGGCATGTCTGTGTTTCACAGCAATGGTACCTACTGCTACAGAAGGTGTTCCCCAGTCATGGTCATCCTGCTAAGAGGAAAGCCCTTCCAGGGATCTAATGATCCTCAAGTCATGCAAGGGAGGACTCACCTGAGACCCAGGGAGGACAATCATATCACCATAGGGAATATTATCTTTGTATATCTTCCCTTTGATAAATGCCATACATGTCCCTTGAAAACCCAGAGCAACCTCTGTTCGGGTACACAGATGCAGAGCAGTGCAGTCTCCAGTTCAAAGTGCCTCTGATGGCATGGGCAGAGCCAGGGCACACAGGACAGCATGATACTCTGTACAGCTCAAATGGATGGCAGGACCAAGGGAGGGTGCATTCATCATCCCTCGCTGCACACACTTCCACAACTTGCAGGTCTCTTATAGAAAAATTGCTTTGAAAATCAAGACGCTGTTGTGAAACATCTGTTTACATAATGTTTTTGTCTCCTCCCCAAGGTGCTGCCTCTTGCCTGGCAAGCTGCATGGCCATGCTCCAAGCTCTCCTCAGTGAGAGTGCTTTTAATCAGGGGTTACTCAATCAACGCATGAGGGAAGTGACTGTGACCCAGATACACACAGGGATAAGGCACAGACCATCAGGACTCCTTCCTGTTTTGCTGCCCACTGTGCAACCTGAAGGTTGGTCCTCTGTGACTGCAGCATTGAGGTCTGTGTAGGCATGATGATCAGATTGATGTCTGCACAGGAGGATTCATCATCACTGAAATAACTGGGGAATTTGAATTCCTTTTCTGAGAGTTACTTTTGCACTATCACAAAAGCCAGAGCAGCCAAAAGGTGACAGTGGTTTGCTAGGAGGAGCTCATTGCTCACACAGGACCAGGAATGATTGCAGGAACTCCTCAGGAACACGCCTGGGGGGAGAAGCATGATCCTCAGCTATGTAACACAACGTGACATGGAGAGTGACCACCTCTGGCTTTCCATGGACTTCTCAGTCACACTCCTCATCCCAGTGCTCCAGCTGCCCACAGGGTAGTGAGACAGGGGGGTCCTGGCCTCAGCAACACAAGGAGCTGGACAACATGACTGCAAGTGCTCCTCTGTCACAGGGCCCATACTGAAGCTATATTCTCCCCCTAGACTTTGCTGCTGCTTCTCTTGGTGATCCATAGTCCCACAGCAAAATGTCCACCTTGGGCAGATGATGAATCTTTGCCATGAAATCACCAAAGGTGATTTTTTTATTAATGTAGGCCTGGTTTTAATCCTGTTTCAAAAGCCAGCTGCCAGAGCTTCTCATTCTAAACAGCAGAAGCAAGCAACAGGCCTGTTAGCTAGCTATAAAAGCAGGATTATTATTTCCATCAGCCCTGATTGTAAATTGAATGGCATCACTGTGAGATCAGGGATGACTTTCCACATGGGCCTGTATTATCCACAGGAACTGCCTTCCCTTCAAGGAGAATGCTGTGGATAAGGTAGCACATAAATCTGCTCTAACTCTGAAATATTCGAGGCATATTAAGCTTTGGAAGTCTTAAAAGTGGAGAGTAAATCCTGATTTTACTCCTTAATTTCCTACTTGCAACACTTCGCTTCACACTGCAAGACTAACTACAACTAAACCTCCAAGAGCTGGAAATGACGGATGTGTCTGTAATTTATTATTCAAGAAATTAAAGTTATGCTTTGTGAAATGTTAACGTGGCTGCCCAGTGCTGGTGCACAAGGAATGCTCTGGTGTGATAATATGACTGCTCTTTAATCACCCCTGGACAACTCTCTCCCCTCTGCCTCACCTCCTCTCGCTCATTGTTATCACTGGCCTTGCAGATTACACCCAAGCTGCAGCTGCTCATCTCCTTCTTCTGCCACCCCTCTCTGCCCCGTGGTCCTGAGGGGACTGCAGAGAACAAAATCCAGAGTGGGAATATCTCAGTGTTGGAATATCTAAATAATGCAATGAAATACAGATGAATAAAACCCCAGGACATCGTCTAAAGTAATTGCTGATAATTTCTGATCTCAGTTAAACACAAAACAAGACAAAGGCACCAAAACAGCTGCCAGGGGAGTAATGTCACCCTTCCTGATCCAGAGGCAGGAGTGAATGCACAGGAACCACGAGGCAGGTTGTGTCAGGGCTGTGAAGTGCCCTGAGATCACGCAGTGCATGTGAACAAGTTTGAGCCTTTCCAGGAACACTTCCAGAGCTGGCCTGGCACCCTGGTGTTGTGGGGTCATTCAGATTGGCAAAGCCCTCTGAGATCATCACGTCCAACCTTGGCACTGCCAAGGCCATCACCAGGGCATGTCCCCAAGTGCCACATCCACGCGTTTTTGGAACTTTGAGGGATGGTGATTCCACCACTGCCCTGTGTACCCTGTTCACTGTTTGACCACCCTGTCCCTGAGGATGATAACCCACGGAGGGTGACAAGCCCTCGATGCTCTTTGCCACCAGCACTCCTAAGTTCTGGAGATGTTCGTGTCTGAACAGGCTGAAAGGCCACAAATGACCCAAAGTGGCTAACAGAGGGAAATAGCACTGGGGAGGGATGCAGGGCTTGGGTCACCATGCGCAGGACTCAACTGGGGGAGCTGTGCCATACTGGGGGCACTGGGCTGAGCTGGAAGTTGCTGGCTGCAGGTATGTGAAGCACTGGAATAAACTGGGAGTGTGTGGCACAGGGAGTGGTGTCCGTGGAACACTGGGCTGACTGGGGGGATGTGTGTGTGTGAGGTGCTGGGCTGAACTGGGGATGCAGGGCTGTACTGGGAACAGGGCTGAGGGCATGCAAGGTGCTGGTCTGAACTGGGGGCACTGAGCTATGCTGGGGATGGAGCTGTGTGAAGTGCTGGGCCGAACTGAGGGCACTGGAGCTGTGTGTGAGGTACTGGGCTGAACTGGAGGTGCTGGTCTGAACTGGGGGCACTGGGCTGTACTGGGAATGGGGCCGTATGTGAGACGCTGCTCCGAACTGGGAGCACTGGGCCGAACTGGGGATGAGGCTGTGAGACGCTGCTCCGAACTGGAGGCACTGGGCTGTACTGGGGGGATGGAGCTCTGTGTCAGACGCTGCTCCAGACGGGGCGCACTGGACTGTACTGGGGTCGGGGCTGCTGCCCCGAACTGGGGGCACTGGGCTGTACTGGGGACGGGGCTGCGTGCGAGACACTGCTCCGAACTGGGGACGGGGCTGTGAGACGCTGCTCCGAACTGGGCGCGCTGGGCTGTACTGAGGTCGGGGCTGCTGCTCCGAACTGGGCGCACTGGGCTGTACTGGGGACAGGGCTGTGAGACGCCGCTCCGAACTGG